AATCCACCAGATGCTCTGCCGGGGAAGGAGGGACAATCTCCTCCTGTACCAGTCAGATCTGATTTGACGGTACACTCACACAAAAATAATAAAAACAAAAACAAAAACAAAACAACCCAACTATCGACCTTTATCAAAGTTCATAATTTCAGGAGGCATGTTGTTTAGGAAGTGGATGCCACTCCTTAGGTACCATTAAGTCAGTTACGACCCATAGTGACCCTATGAATAACAGATCTGTACCCTGCCCTATCCTGTACCATCCTCATCATCTCCAGTACACTTGAGACCATTGCTGCAGTCAGTGTGTTAGTTACTCTCATTAGGGGTCTTCCTCTTTTTTCCTGACCCTCCATCTTTCAAAGCATGATGCCCTTCTCCAAGAAATAGCCTCTCTCAGTAAAATGCCCAAAATATGTGAGACAAAGCTTTGTTATCCTTGTCTCTAAGCAGCATTCTGGCCATACTTTCTCCAAAACATATCTGTTTATTCTTTTGAATAAATGGAGTATAGTCCTGGATTCTTCTCATATATAATGAATGCTATGAAAGAATTAGATTTAGACATAAAGAATGTAACAAAAATAATATTTTCAGCCTTTGGTGTTGAAGTATGAACTTGGTAAATACTTAATAGATATCTTTTTAAAAAGTGTAATAAATATGTAGGTAATAAGACATTTTCCTGTTTTGATAATCATCACAGGTACAGTTAAGAGCATTAGATATATTCATCGCATATAGTAGGGAGTTTCACTGTCAACCCAAAGGCATGTGATAAAGTCCACCAGCTGCTCCATAGGACAGTGATGAGCAGGCTCCTCCTGTGCAATATGCTGTCTCCGAAAACCTGCTGGAGGGTCGGCTGAGTTGGTTCTGGTCGTCTGTGAGTTGATTCCGACTTGACGGCACCTAACAACAACATGACTAACTAAGTATTACTACTTTTAATGAGATATCCAGGAATGTAAATAGATGGTTTGGTTATATACAATCCTGTTCCCCCCCCCCATTGTAATATAATTTACTTGTAATAAAACCCACAGATTGTAATGTATGATTTGACTACTGGACCAATAGACAGTGCCATGATAGATGGAAAAAAGATTGAAGTTGCCAGTAATTTCATTTCATTTTACTTGGATATACACTCAACACTCATGGTAGCAGCAGTCAAGAAATCAAAATCATACTTTGGGCATGTGGCAGGAAAGACTGATGCTTAGAGAAGGACATTATGCTCAGAAGGGTGGAGGGACAGCAGCAAGAGAGGAAACCCTCCCCCCCCCATGAGATGGATTGATACAGTAACTGGGGCAGTGGGGGTAGGTGTTGGAGTCAGTGAGACTGGCTCGGAACAGAGCAGGCTTCAGAGCTATTGTACATAGGGTCTCTATGAGATGCCGTCACATAACAACAACAACAACAATATTGTTCACTTCATTTTCATTTGCATGTTCCAACATTCCTCTCAATGTTTCTCTGCTTGGATTTCTTTTTCTCGCTTTGCACTTATCTGGAAATGTGTTTATTTGTTTTATCTCCCTCACTGTGGGTCAGGGTATTTTTTGTTTTGCCGTATTAGTGATTGGCATATAGTAGAGATACCCCTTTTGAACAAATGAGTTGTTCAACCTCTACTGTTTTATGTAATCTCCAATATTGTATGATAGGTAGTCTTCTGCTCTTTGTCTCTCCCCTTATTTCCATTTGTACTTCTTCTCATTACAGCACTGTGATGATTCTACACCCATTTCTTTCTAATCTCCTAGCCTTCCCTCTTCGCCACCTATCCTGTTGTCTCTCACATTTCAGTGTTATACTTTCTTTGCATTTGAACCCTGTTCTTATTTCAAAGTGCTTACTGGAGAAAAGGATGTACTTGTGTTGGTTGTTGGTGGTGTAAGTTTATATTCTTCAATCTCAAATAGACTTCTGGTGTTACCCAGAAGTTTTGTATTTTTTAGTGAACCATTATCACCTTTTCTTATTTCCTTTCTTCTACTTTACAAAGAGAACAGAGTTTGTAGGTATGAGTTCCCTTACCTTTGTCTCTTCACTGCATCTACAGGTATGTCTCACCCACATTTTTCTCTATCTTTTGTCCTTCTCAGTACAAGACCTATCTTTTATTTTCCTTGAGGCTCATCTTTTCACTCTTTTTTTCCTCCTTAACTTCCCCAGACACTTTTGCTTTATCAGTTACCACACCCCCCTTTAAAATTCGGTGTCAACAGTATGCAAACATTCATATGTGTCCTTCTTTAACCAAAATTTTTTCACTGTTCTGCATGATCACTTTTGTCTCTTTCTTTGAGAGTTTATCATAAACTCATTTTCTCAGTGCTTTTCTGCTCTAATCCACTGAACTCTATACTCTTCCCTTAAAACCATTCTTGTGTTTGAGTTTTTTCTGTCTTTGGCTGTGGTGAAGAATGCTTCAGTGAACACTGATATACTCTCTTTTGAGTCTTTGCTTTCAAATCTTGAGTTCTGGATTATGTGGTAATTCTATATTTACGTCTTTTTTTTAGAAACTGCTAAATGATTTTCGATAATAGCTGTTTCATTTTACAGTGTACCTGCAATGGCTGATGGCTTCAGAATCTCTACATTCTTGCTGATACTTGTTATTTCCTATTTTACTAAAGTTGTTTTGCTGTCAAAAATGTTTTTAGCTATTATAAACACTGCTGCTATGAACATTCTTATATGATGGTACATTTTTATGGGATGGAAGGGAATAGCTGCCTCAACTTCAATTTTTCTAGATTTCCCCCCTTCCTCCATTTGTGTGCAATGTACGTGTAAATGAAGAGAAAAAAACTGTTTTCTAAAGAAGGGCGTCACTTACACTTCCTCAGTGGTATGTGACAGTACCCACCAACACTTGGTCATTCATCACTTTCTTGTTATTATTTTCTAAACACATGGTTATTGTTAAACAGTGAGCAGTTTCTGTTTTAACATTTCTATGTTGAAGAACCTAACTATTTGAAAATATGTATTTACCTTTTATCATCTCAGTCATGTCATGGAATACATATATATTTTCATTTTGTTAAATGTGCTTATGTACAATTATTAAGTTTACTATTTTTTTAGTAGTAGTAAACTTTGACACCATGACACAGTAGTCAGCCTGAGCATGACACAGATCAGAAGGATAACGCAGGACAGGGCAGGGTTTCGATTGGTTGTTCATAGAATCACCGTGAGTAATAGTTGACTGGATGGCACCTAGCAACAGCCATGTTTCAGATCACGATATTGACTAGATGCTTTTCAGTTCAGTCAGGGCTAAAAAAGTCAAATGAGAATGACCTGAATTTCTGAAATGTGGGTATACTGGGAAAGCTGGTAAAATCAGGCATCAATACCCAAGTCAGATCTTAATCTCCCTCATAGAAAGATATAACATCATGTGTATTGTATGACAACTAATTCTTTTGACAGGCAGAGTTGGAAACTGAGGTGCTATGCGTAAAGATAATCTTCCTCTTTCACCTCCACCCCTCATTCTATTTGTCCCTCTGATGCATGCACATTTTATAGACTCTGATGTGCTCCACTTTTGTCACATTGGCCATAATTGCTAGACTGGTTTTAATTAGAAACCCGTGTTTTAGTTGATATGAGATGGCTATATATACAATAAGTGACAACTTTGACGTATTTTTATTTTTACTTTAAAATAAAAATTATGATTGCTGTATAACTTTTCAGCCTGGAGACTTAATGGTAGTTATTTTATATAAAGATAATGCACCTTTGAATTTTATAATACAGGTTTTCCTTTCATGGATTTATGTGGTATATTTATTGCAATAACTTTAGTGGTTGTTTTTTCCCCCCTTTCTAGTTGGCCTTTGCCAGAGTTTGATCCAAGCCAGATTCGACTGATTGTATATCAAGACTGTGAAAGACGAGGAAGAAATGTCTTGTTTGACTCCAGTGTTAAGAGAAAAACTGAAGACTTAACAGTATCGGTAAGCTTCGTTATTAATTTGGTTGAAATTTATTGCACAATATTTTAACATTTCAAGAATTGAATGCATGAAATATTAATTATGGTACTTTTATCTAAGAATACAGAATGTATTTACCATATTGCTTTAAATTTCAGAACCCTGTCTATTTGTTGCTTTTTTTGTTTTGTTTTGGTCTCTTTATTTTTTTAAATTTTATTCTGATTTATTTACAAAGTTTGAATACATTGTTTTTTACACTAAATCTTTCCCATTTCCTTCACCACCACCCCCATCAAAATGTGGAGTCCTATTTTTAACACCTCATTCCCGCCCATCCTCACCCCTCTGCTTCCACCTCCTCCCTGAATCCTTATACTCATTCTACAGTAATGGTCTTATACAATATTTGTCCTTATGAAGCCAAAGTTCATTTAGCGTAATGCTCTCCAGTTCCTCCCAAGTTAGGTAGTAATTTACAAAATAATTGCTTCTGCATGCTGTGTAGTATTCCATTGTGTGAATGTACCATAATTTCTCAGTCCATTCTATTGTGGTTGGACATCTGGACTGTTTGCATGTTCTTGTGATGGTGTTTAATGCTGCTATGAATATTGATGTACATTTCTCCGTTTGAGCCTCAGTTCTCATTTTTTCAGGGTATATTCCAAGTAGCGGAATCGCTGGGTCATACAGAATTTCTACATTCAGCTTTTTGAGGAAGTGCCAAACTGCCTTCCAGAGTTGTTGCACCATTTTACAGTCTCACCAACAATGTCTGAGTACCTATCTTGCCACATCTTCTCCAACTTTATTATTTGCTCTCTTGCTAAACTTTGCCACTGCTACTGGGGATGATATCTCTTTGTGGTTTTGATTTGCATCTTTCTTATTGCCTGTGATATGGAGCATTTCTTTTTATGTGTGTTTGCCATTTGACCCTCTTCTTCTGTGAAAATTCTTTCCATGTCTTTTGCTCATTTTGTAATTGGGTTATCAGTCTTTTTCTTGTGGAGGCCTGGGAGTATTCTGTAAACTTTTTGTTGTAAGACTCTTGTCTGAGATGGTTTTGCCAAATGAATGTTCCCAGTTGGTAGGTTTTCTTTTCACCCTGTTGAAAAAATTTTTGGTACACACAGGGATTTAATCTTTAGAAGGGTCCATTCATTAATTTTATCCTCTTCAGATTGTGTATTTCTAGGTGTATTTGGCAGTCTCTTTCTGCTGTAGACTAAGCTTTCTAAGCTTGATCCCAGTTTGTCTCTGATGAACTTTATGGGTTTGGGCTTTACTCCTAGGTCTCTGATCCACCATCAGTTGATCAGAACCTTGTTTTTAAGAGATTTAAAAGAAGTGGACATTGCTATGTTTTGTCCTTTTCTTGATATCAAAGGATATTTTATTTTGACATTTTACCCCTTATCTGATTATTTTCAAAGCTATGAGTAGAATTGCAAGGATCTTTATTACAGAGAATCTGGTACAAGCCTCTTCTTACTGTTGTGAAGAGTAAGATTTAGGCAAAATTATTTTTATAAAGGTGTAATGCACATTAAGTCTCTAGCCCTTAAATCATTGTCCCCCACAACTGTACATCAGGATTGTAGTGTGATGCATCACTTTTATTTATTTATTTATTTGTCACTTTTAATTTTTTTTTTTTTGGTAAAAGTTTGCAGAGAAAATTGGTTTTCCATTTAATAATTCCTACATATTTTGTTTCATGATGCTGATTGCAGTACCAGTGAAGCATATTGTCACAATGTAGTATTGAAATCCTCAGTTCCTCTCAGTGTATCTCATATCTATTAATTCCATTTCTATCCTTTCCTGCCTTTTGAGCTTTATCCCTCAGCAGGTGCTGTCCTTTTGCTCTTCCATGTTAGATCGTTCTAAGTAGTGCATACCTTCCTGGTATTATTGCTCATCCTTTAGGTCTGCCTGTTGTTTGGCTGAAAAGTCTAAGGTGATTTCATTTCCAAGCTTGAAGGATGACTAACGGCTAAATGATTTCATGGTTTCCACTAGACTCTTTCAGAGCAGCAAGCCTGATCTTCTTGATGAATTACTTTTATGTAACTTTTCTTGCCATTTTGTAACAAATAACTAGGTGGAACTACACAAATAAAGTGATGTTGTTTTGACAAGCTGGTCTTCTGACTTTTCTATCATGTGTTTCCAAACCCAGCATTAAACTCCCTCGTCCCAGTAGGGCTTCAGACTGCTCCAGGTTTTCAGACAAAACAAAGACCTAACCAGTAGTCTAGTCTGCATATTAACTAGAAGAACGGAATGTGTTCACCCACTATTTATTCATCGCATAAAAGTTTAAGCAACTTGTCATCCAGAGAGGATTTGAAATATGAAACTTCCAAGGCATAACATTATTTGCAGTGTACACCAGAGTCTTCTGTTTTATTAAGTGGGATAGTTTGGTACTCAGAAGGTCCTTCATCGGCTGGTTTATAGCCCTTTGTGTATGTCCAATATGTACTTTCCTTGCAGAAATTGTTCTTACTAGATCAATTACAAGTGCTGTGATTGGTTCCTGGAACTGCTGATTGAGTATCTGGATACTATCATCAGTCCCACCCAGAGAGCCACAAGCCATAGCCAGGGTGACTATGATACCAACTAATTGTATTTTCAAGGCGGGCAACCAGAGCATTTACCCAGGTTTCCATGCCTTCTACAGGCAGTGCAAAACTGTCCATAGTGATTATAGTCTCACCATCCACCTTTCTCAACATCAGAGCCATTACTTCAAGTTGCGCCTTCCCTGGCATGCATCACCATCTTCAGGAGATCCTAGGCTGAGACCTTAAAGTATTTAAAGTAATGAAGATCTTTAGTCCAGGGATTCACCATCAGGATTTCCTGTTTCTGTTTCTTGTCATATTTGTAGATTTCACTGATACTCTGAGCTTCTTGCTTGTTGTTGGATAATTCTCAGATTTTCTAGGCCATACTGCTCTCAGATAGCACCATTGCTGAGGGATCAGAGAAATTGCTGCCCTGTATGCAACCAAGAGGCAAATTCACCCTGCTAGGTCTTGGGATGAGGGCTTTCAACTATCCACCAAAGCCATGCATACTCTCAGAAGACTCCCAACACAGCCATGACCTAGAATTATATTTTTATATGATCAGTGTTGAAGTACTTTCTCATGTTCTTTCTTGTCTCAAAGTAGTCTACAAAAGAGAATAAGAATCATAAATACTGTGTTTCACACTATTCTTCATTCATGTTATGTTTCATACAGTCATTCCCATTCATTATGTTTTATAAAATTAATTGCCATTGGACTATGCCCACCATTACCCTGTCTTTTTAGGTCTGTGCATAATAAATAATGTAGTGTACTTTGCATGCCTGAGCAATATTATGGTGAAATGAAATATTATTAATCAATGTCAGTGTGTAACGTTCAAAGAATACTATCTTTTGCAACTGTATTACTTTCTGTGAAAAATGATGTCTGGAGTATACACTTGGTAAATTGAAAAAAAAATTAAATCTTAATAAAGAACATTTTAATGTTTACCAAAAATCTTGAGATGTGATTTCTTTGAATACTAATAGTGACAAATGGAGACACTGTGATTTTATCCTGTGCATTCTTTATCCTGGCAATGGTGGAGTGGTTAGAAGTGCTATGCTCCTAAACAGAGTTAGAGGTTCAAAGCCAGCAGCTACTTCAAAGGCAAAAGATATGACAGTCTGACTCTGTAAATATTTATAGTGCTGGACACCCTGCAGGGCCATTCTACCTTTAGGTTCACTATGTTGTTGTTGTTGTTGTTGTTATGTGCCATCGAGTCGTTTCCGACTCATAGCGACCCTATGCACAACAGCTCTAAACCCTGCTCTATCCTGCGCCAACCGCACAACCTCTGACACACCCATCCCGATTACCCCAGTCACCAAATCAATCCATCTCATAGAGGGTCTTCCCCTCCTGCGCTGTCCCTCCACCCTCCCAAGCATGATGTCCCTCTCCAAGGACCCGTCCCTCCTGGCAACATGTCCAAAGTATGTCAGACGAAGCCCCAGAATCCTTGCCTCCAAGGAGCAGCTTGGTTTAATCCTCTCCAAGATGAATCTGTTTGTTTTCCTGGCAGTCCATGGTACATTCAGTACCCTTCTCCAGCACCACAGCTCAAAAGCATCCACTCTCCTTCTGTCCTCCCTAGTCATTGTCGAACTCTCTGATGCATAACAAGCGATTGCAAATACCATGACCTGTATCAGGCGCACCTTAGTCTCCAGAGAGACACTGTTGCTCCTGAGTACCTTTGAGAGGTCCCTAACAGCAGACTTTCCCATCGCGATATGCTTTTTGATTTCCTGACTGCTGGTACCAAGAGTGTTGACTGTGGAGCCGAGCAAAGTGAAGCTGTGAACACTCTCAATCTCTTCGTCATCCATCCTGACGCTGCCAATTGGTCCAGTGGTGAGAATCATTGTCTTCTTGACGTTGAGCCTTAGTCCATACTGAAGGCTGCAGTCCTTGACCCTTCGCAGCAAGTGCATGAGGTCCTCCTCAGTTTCAGCAAGCAAGGTTGTGTCATCTGCATAACGGAGATTGTTAATAGATCTTCCACCAATCCTGATGCCACAATTCTCCTCATAGAGCCCAGCCTCTCGAATAATCTGCTCTGCATACATGTTGAAAAGGTATGGAGACAGGATGCATCCCTGGCGTACGCCCTTCCCAGTTTTGAACCATGCAGTGTTACCCTGCTCTGTTCTGACTACTGCCTCTTGGTCCAAGTATAGCTTTCGTATTAGCACAATTAAATGTTCTGGGATTCCCATTCTTCTCAGGGTCAGCCACAGTTTGTTATGATCCACACAGTCAAATGCCTTCAGCCAAGATCCATCTAACATCAGCAATGATATCCCTAGTACCACGACCCCTTCTAAACCCAGCCTGGACTTCCGACAGTTCTCTGTTGATGTGCTGTTCTAATCGGTTTTGGATGATCTTCAGCAGAATCTTTTACTCAATGACAATGAA